CGGTGTTTATGGCTCACAGAACCAAGGGTCAGTAGCAGCATATGAGGAAGGGAAATGATTGCAAGAAGACTTAAACCATAGCATTTGTTTGTTTTACTTCCATGAAAACTGCAGGAGCCACAGGGTTCTAAGTACCTAGTGAGCACAGCACATGGTTACAGATATGTCAGTGATGATGCTCCAAGTGGGTTCCAGAAGGAATGCAGATGTCTACATGTAAGACCCTGGGAAGGGTGAGGAAGCAGGGAGATGCTGAAAGGAGGCCAGAGGGGGAAAGCAGGCAAGGGTTTGGGCCACAAGGGGATTTTCAGCTTCTGTGTCCTGCTAGTAATATTAGTTATAGGTTGTTTTCTGGTAATTTTTTTTTTTTTTGGTAAGAAGGTTAGATATATTCTTCAATATTTCTGTTACAGGCTCTCAGGTCCCCATGCATGGAAGGGGTTCAACAAATATATGGTGAAATAACTTGAAGGGGAGTAAGAAAGTCCATTCTCCATGAAACAAATTTGGTGGGGGCATACATGACACAGAAATTTTCTTCCAGAAAGAAGCACCACACTGATTCAGGGGAGGTAGATGTTACTCAAATGACTTAAGAAAGGAATTTCCTTTAAAATCAGTTCATAGGCATTGCTGAAAAGTTACCTATTTTCTCAGTTTGATGCTTAGGATAATTAATTACTGATAGTGGAGCCAAATGACTTTTGGATGTTTGGCTTACCTGATTTACCACTATTAATGATAATTTTTAAAAAATTTGACCTAGAGTGTCTGCAGACAATTCTGATGAGATAATCTCTGAATATACTGAGTATTTATTATATGTAAATATTTATAAATATAATAAATACATGTACATATGTATTAACTCATTCAATCCTCAAAGTAGCAATATGAAATAAGCATGGGAATTCTTTCCATTTACAGATAAAGAAGCCAAGGCAAAGATTTTGTAATGTGCCTAGGATCACCAGCTAAGAAGGAGTAGAGCTCACTTGTTTGAGTAATTATAACACAACTGGAATAAGTACCTGTTTTCATTTCTCTCAAATTACCTTAAAGAGAATTGTATTCCATTCAATTATATGTTGAATTCTGACGTTATTGTTTGTTTGCTTTTGTAAAGGCATATACTTGAGAGTACTTGTACCCATTATTTTATTTAGTTCCTTTCAGAAAATAATTTTACTCTTTAAGAACAAAGCTATTTGTCGAATGATTTAATAGAGGTTTGCACCTACTCTGTGTGGGATAACGGGAAGCAAAAGACATCATCTCACATCTCTGTTTCTATCTTCTCTCTTTGGGGGATTGGTATTTATATTGTACTATCAAAAACACACACATCACAATCATCTATCTGTAGGTGTTTGTTATTCCCATTTTAGAGAGGGAAAATCCAGGACTCAAACTGGTCAAAGGACTTTGCCTAAACAACACACCTAGCAAAAGGCCAGGTTCAGGTCTGTCATCTTTCCTGTTATACCTCAGTTCCTTTAGGGGTAAGTAGTTTTTATTTGTATTGAAAGAAAAATGAATCATAAATATCCAGATGGGAGAAAGCTGAATTAAAAACAATTTCCCTTAAAGGTGGGTCAAATTGAGTTAAGAATGAAAATTCAAGGTAGGCAAGAGATCCCCAGGCTCCTTTCACTGAATTCAAACCCCAAGATATACATTAGATTCCAGGGCATGAAAACACAGTGAGTTGTTTTTAGAGCAGGAGATGGAGTGTGGGGGAAGCACAGCAAGACCCTCAAATAGGGAGAAAAAGATTTTTAAAAATATGTAGCTTAGTAATGAAGAAACAAATGCCTGCAGATTGTCAGTTACCATTACTAGGATACTCTGAGTGCTTCACTCATTGAATCATTGATAACTACCCAAGTGCTTTACCTCTGGCATGGACCTATGAAATCTGTAAAAAAAATTCCCTCAGGACTGTTATCATCCTAGCTCTTTACAGGTAAGAAAATAAAGCTGCAGAGCAGTTATGGGGCTTGCATATAAGGTAGAATAAGATAGTTCTGGCCTGGGGCCCAGGTCTGCCTGAATTCATGTTTTTTGCTTTTTATGTTACCACATTGCTGTCTCCTAGTAACCTAAAGTTTTAGAACCAATTATTTAAACAGATGGGCCAGTAAGAACTTGGAAATGAAGGTGGTAATCCTAGGTGCCAATGCAAAGAACACGCCAGGGCAAAGTAAACCCATCACTCTCTCTAATGGGGCTTCTGATCTGGTAGATCCAGGAAATGCTGCAGACATTCCAGGTCTCTCAAATTCAGCATTGCATTACTGGTTTGAGTAGAATTAAAAAAAAAAAAGAAAAGAAAAAGAGGCGAGGAAGAGGGCTCAGTTGGGTGAGTCACTGAGTGGTGAACAAGATGCCTAAAATATGGATGAGTAACCTCGCTAGAGTGAGGTGATGTGCCACAGAGCTCTTTCCTTGGCCTGGTCTCATTCACGTTTCTTTACTCACTTGCAAGCATTTATTGAATGGCAAATGATAATCAGGCTCTATGTCAGATCCAGGGATTTGTGGTGGACACCAAAGTGCGGATTTCCCTTCCTAAGGTTCCTTGCATAAGCTGCTAGGAGGAATACTGATAGCCTTCAACTGCCAGCACAAGGTCTGCCTCAGCTACAGAAAGCTACCTTGCTCAAGGTCACATCCCTTCCTAGGGTGGCCCCTAGGAGAGTTATAACTGATACAGCAGTATAAAGGTTTTTCATCTCAGCCAAACTCAAGGTAACACTGAAGGATCATTTTCTAGCTTCATAGATCTCCTATGATTAGCTCAGGCTGTTGCTGGACATATTAAACAGTCCAATTTCTGCCTCTGCTCACCCCATCCCATAGGTATTAAGCCCAAGGTCACTCCTTAATAAATATTCTGCACAATAAACTCTGAGTTGAAATCCATCTGCTCCATGGAAAACCAGTTGGCAAAGGAGGAAACTTTTCCTTTGTTCATCCTTTGAAGAACAAAATCACAACCAAGGACAAAAAATTACATATTTAGTTTAACAGAGAAGATCTTTTCTTTCAACAGTGAAGCAGTCTGCCTTAAAAGGCAGTGAACTGTGTAAGAGAGAGGCACTGTTACTGTTGGAGGGTTATGAATCAACCAAGCAAGATGATACTTGACTGAAATTTGTTTCTGTTCATCCAGCCATTACCTAACATGCAGCATAGCATCACTACTGGTTAGAAATGAATGATTCCAAATTTCAAAAGAAAACACCTTGGATTCAACTGATTCTGGGAATAATTTTGAATAAAAATCAGAAAAAAATCTCATTTCCAAATGAACTCCCCCTAAATAATCTGAGATGACTTAAGACACAGTGTCAGAAAATGACAATGTCTTCTAATAGTATTTGTTTGTCTTTTAATAACAGAACCTGAATTTTAAGTTCATGTAATCTAAAAACAGATTCCAGAACAGCTCAAAGAAAACTCCTTTTCTTGCTGCACCTTTAGCAACACATTGGGTGGGAGGGATACCTACCAGATGGCTTAGGCATATAGGGTCTTGGACGTGGGGTTCAAAAACCTTTCTTAGGTTCAACAAGCTTTCAGCAAATGTTCTGGGACTATAGTAGTAAGTTCTATGTTCCAGGACTATGCTAGTCGTTTATTTAATCCCGTGAACTTGCCTTTTTTTCACTCACCCTAGATAATTTCCAAGTGCCCACTACATTTATTATGCCTTAGAAGGAAGTGAATATCAATGAGTTTCTAGCATTTTTGTGGACCTTTACAATTAAAAAAATGATTTGGTAACTGAAAACCAATTTGAAAGATGTCAGGTGAAAAGTGGAAGTGTGCGTGTTAATACACCCCTGTTACTAGAAATATATTTCTTTCATTTTAAAATCCTTATCTTCCATTGCAGAAGAGAAAGAAAACTCACATATTTTATGCTTCTCTTTTTTGGGGATGTATTTTAAGGTAGCACATGAGTACATGATTAAAAATTACCTGAAGTATCATTTGCTATGGTTGGTTGCTACCAGCAATCATTTTGATTGTCACCCGCAGAAGTGACAAGAGTTGTTATAAACATATGCTGTAAAGAAGGCATCCTTACAGATGGTCTTCACCCCCAGCTGGTCAAAGTTCATCCTCAAAGGATGCATGACTAGGCTCCTTTAGAAAGTCTGAGACATCTCCAGAAGCACCTCCCAAACTGTTTAGCATTATTCAGTTACTCTGGTGGACACTGCAGGGAGTCAGGAACACATTAGCTGCCAGTCTGAAAGCCCTCATCTGCTCCTCACAGCTATTTTTAGATAACAATGGTGGCATTTATCAAACACCATAGAAAAAGTACTAAATGTTGAAAGAATCAAGAAACTAAAGAAATTTAATAGATGGGATTTGGGGAAAGGAAGCACAGACTATAGGAAAACACTCATTTGAAAAATATAAACAGGTCAATATTTGTACTTGAAGTATCTTAAAGATGAGAACATTGATCATAAAATATAATGAAGAATATGAGTTTCAAGTTACATCTAATTACATTATGATATTTATGAATATTTTCTTTTGGAACACAGCTAGGAAAATGTTTTTCAAAGCCAATTTTATTAGTTTTCCTTTTGTGTATTTTTTATGAGAAAAAAGTAAAATGTATTTTTAAAAGTCACTATTAGTAAATCTGTGAATGTCATGTTCTTAATTGTTAAAGTTTGTTTCAGAAATAAATCTGGATATTTTTTCATGATTTTTTTTTAAAAACATGTTTGCAGGAAAATTAAAGAAAATGTGATTCCATATATTTGTATTATTTTCAAAAATGCAAGAGCTGCAGTATTGAATGAGCAAAAACTTTCTTAAGCTAGAATGATCTGTTTGAGGCTTATAGACCTCATACAATGGTGACTGCATGAAGCCCCCAATGTAGGGGGTTTATGATGGGCTAAATGCAGACAGGCAGAACACAGCTGTCTGTCCAACCTCACCAAAGCTTGAAATAAAAAGCCACTCACCACTGGTGACGGGGAAAGTGCAATGTTGCCTATCGATGCCTTCAGCTCATCTACAGTTGCCGCATTCTTAAGAATGTCTTTAGATTGCAATGGTTTGATCTTGATATTGAATTTCTTGTGTGATTCTTCTTCCTCTTCCGATTCACTCGAAGAATAAAAGTGCTTTCCTTTGGTAGGTAGAACACAGTTAAAGATACCTAGCTCTTTCTTCTAATGGGAGACATTGATGAGTATAATATGACAAGAGTGATTGCACATAGTCACTACAAAAGTATTGTGAGATGGCAGGAAATCAAAGCAAAACAAACAAAAATAAAAGAGATAAAAAGTTAGGTTTTCTTTACCCTTCCTTAGAATATGATCAGAGATCATGAATTTCAAAGAGTACTGATCCATACCCTAATTTTTGCTGTCATCGCTCATGTGTTGCGTTACACTCTACACACACACAAGCATGCATGAGCTCACTCATTCTCAGAGAAAGACTTCTTTCTTTCTGGATCATCTGTGAAGAGTCTTGGGTGGTGCTTCAGAGTGTGACATGCTTTGCCCAGAGATGAACTGGAGGGGAGAGGACAGTAAGGGCTATTTTCCAGTCAGTGTAAATGACATTGCCATGTCAGATTTTAGCAGACAACTCAGTACCCACAATGCACACTGTTTTTTGTTTTTTTTTTTTTTAGCACATTTCTTTTGCTTCTCTCTCTTTTCTATTAATAGATCAAGGCAAAATGTCTGCTTGTTAGCAATCAGGCTGTTCTCTGTGCTATTTATTCATTTCTCCTATTAGGAATAGTAGCTTAGGTTATTTCATCACCTTTGTAAAACCTGACCTTAGCTTACTGTTTTCTGAGATTCTAAATTAAAATTAAAAAAAAATAATAAAGAAAGGATATAGCCGGGTTCTTCAGGTCTGATGCTGTAGCCTTCTTCATCCAGCTCAGGTGAATTCTGTAAAATACAAGTATATGTTAAGCAATTATTACTTTGAAATGATAGAAGCACATTTTTCTTCCTAGAGTATTTTTCATATTTTTTCCACATTTTATTGGTGCATTATAATTGTATATAATGATGTGATTTGTTGTTACATATTCATACATGCACACAGTATAGCAATATAATTTGTCACTACAAAAGTATTCTGAGATGGCAGGAAATATCACTCCCTAGCACTTCCCCTTTCTCTCTCACCGCCTCCCACCCCATGGTCATTTTCCTCCCTTTGATTTTCATGAGATCCCTGCTCTCCTACCTTTCTTTTCCTTTTTTTTCTCTCTAGCTTCTGCATTTGAGAGAAAACTTTAACCTTCTGAGTTTGACTTTTTTTCACTTAACAAAATATTATCTAGGTCCCTCTATTTTCCTGTAAACGACATAATTTCATTTTTCTTTATGGCTGAATAAAACTCCATTGTGTATATATACACCACATTTTCTTTATCCATTTATTCACTATCTATCTTTTATGTAAGGATATAGACAAGTCTCTTATTTTAGGGGGCCAAAGGTTTTAACTTCTGGAAGCAAATGCTGAGCAGTATATGTTTACATATTTACTCAAGGATACTTGGAGAATCCTCCTACTGGATAAATAAAAAAAAGGACATTGTCAGTGGAAGAAGACTTGAGAGGAACCTATCAAGCATTTCCTGTAAGCTGAGGACTGCTAAGCAACATGGGGAAATCAAAATGCAAATTGTTTGTCCTCAGGGAATTGAAATGATTTGGGTAGGCAACAATTAATGACAATACAAAATACCAGTGTTAGAAGGAAGAGGAAATTAGTGAAGTTTGAAAGCATCAGGCATGAGGTCCACATGTGCCTTCTGAAACAGGAGGGAACAGAGAGGGAGCCCCTGTGAACATTCAGGAACAGATTATATTGAGACACTATGGCAGGAAAATGGGGAAGAAAGAGGCAATAGCAGAGACGACAACTGGAGAACAGCTATGCAGCAGGAGACTGGACAATAAGACCACGGGTGGTCAATGTGCCAGGCTGGAGGCTGGACTCTCTAGAGCTGCTGCAGCCTCTCAGGGTGGGACATGCCAAATGCAGAATCTTAAGGTGTTCTGAAAGAATACTTCCAGATAGATTGAGAGCTGAAGAAACTGGAGAAAGCTAATTTAAAATACATGCGTCAATGCAGGCAAGATGTGCTGAGAATATGGTTCAAGTTTTGGTGGTGAGATAGGATGCATTAAGGACATCGGAAAGGATCGATTGCTAATTCTTGGTACTAGATCAATCACAGGAGAAAAAGGAGAGGGAAATTTCAGAAGAATCTAAGATTTCTACCCTCTATTCCTGGGAGATTGCTGGTATTCCCAGTTGAACTAGTTCTAATAGCAGACGACCACTACTTTTAGAAAAAGGAAAGATAAAAGGCAGTTTGCAATACTGGGATTAACATTTCATATTTGAGTTCCTATTATATGGTAAATATGGTGACTCACATTTTATCTCATTGAATGACATAAAAATGATATGTGGAAAAAAATATCCCAATAATCAGGAGGAAACTAAGTGAAATCAGAATGCCATTTCTCAAGAGCACACACAGCCCATGTCAGACATGGCATTTTGAGACTATGCCCTATGCCCCAGAGGGGAAGAAGATGAGGAGTGCCCTGCTGAGGTTTAGCTTACAGGCCTGGCAGTGACAGAGGAGATTTGGAGATGAGTTTTGCATTTATTGAAACAATAAAAAACATCACGACCATGGAATGAGAACAGGACCTGAATTCCATGGAAAAAGCCACCATTTTTTAAAGTCAAATTATTTTTACTGTATGTGCTTAAGGCATACAACATGATGTTCTCATACCCAGAGTGAAATGATTACTACAGTCAAATTTACTTTTCCATCACTTTCCAAAGTTACCCTTTGTGTGTGGGGGTGGGGGTGGAGGTAAGAGCATCTAAAATCTACTATTTTAGCAATTTTCAGTTTATACAATTTGATTAACTACAATCCACATGCTGTACATTAGAGATCTAGACTTACTCATCCTACCTCACTGCAGATTTGTACCTCTTGACCTACTTCTCTCATTTCTTCCCCGTCCCTGCCCCTGGGAACTACCCTTCTCTATTTAGTCTCTATTCTTCTATTTATCTGACTTAGGAAAAGATTTGCTGCCTATAAGTGATCATATATAGTATTTTCCTTTCTGTGTCTGAAAGCTGCCCATTGTTGAACACATACTGTGGTTTCCCTGTTGTCCTTCTCCTTCAGAACTCAGAATTACTTTTTTTTTTTTTTTAAATGCAACTGTAGGGAGGCCATTTCCCTGCTGAAAACTTGTCTCTGGCTCCTCACTGCACTTTGCATAAAAACCCAGCATCTCTGTGTAGCCAACAAGACCCAGCATGATTTGCCTCTTGTTGCTCTCTTTAGCCTTAGATACTCCCCGGCCCACCCCCCACCCCCGCCCCTCTCCAGCTGCAGTTTTCTCCACTGTCAACATTGGGACTTGAAAGTTGCAAAGCTTTCTCATTTCAGGGTCCTCATGAATGTATTATCCTCTGGTTGGAACTCTCTTCACTGGAATATATAGCCACTTATCCTTGACTTGTACTTTAGGCCTTTGCTTAAAGCTTATTCCTTTCTGAGATCTGTCTTAACAAAATTAGGATGATATAATGTATTAAATAAAATTAATACACTAATAAAATTCTTCCTATTTCTTGGAATAATTGTTCCCATTTCTTGGAGTAATTGCTATGTAATGCATAATTACAACAGCAGTTCCCGTGTGATCTGATTCATTTTCAGGCCTAAACACACTTAAAGGAAGCTATGCTTCATTTAAGTACTTTGTGTCAACCGGGAACAGCACTGGGGTCTAGGGTTTGTTTGCTAGATGGAAGGTCATATGTAAGTATTTGATGAGTAATCTGATATTGTAATGATCACTCTTCCTGTTTGTTTTGAGATATATTAAAGAATTCTATAAAACACAACAAAATTCTTCTAGGTAAGAAGATTTAATTTTGACAGAAGAAATCACTCTAGTAGCTTCCCTTATAACTAAATATTTGTCAATAATTTGAAATTAGGATAACTTAGAGGGTGTTAGACATTTTGAGGAACTGAACTGTTAGAAATATTGAAAGGATTTTCCAAGGAATCTCCATACTGCTTTCCATATTGGCTGCACCAATTTGCAGTCCTACCAGCAATGTATGAGTGTACCTTTTCCCCCACATCCTTGCCAACACTTATTGTTGTTTGTCTTCATAATAGCTGCCATTCTGACTGGAGTAAGATGATATCTTACAGTAGTTTTGATTTGCATTTTTCTAATTGCTAGAGATGCTGAATTTTTTCATATTTTTGTTGATTGACTGTATATCCTCTTCTGAGAAGTGTCTGTTCAGGTCTTCGGCCCATTTGTTGATTGGGTTATTTGTCTTCTTTTGGTGCTTAGCTTTTTGAGTTCTTTATATACTCTAGAGATTAATGTTCTATCTGATGTGTGAGGGGTAAAAATTTGCTCCCAAGATGTAGGCTCTCTGTTCACCTCAAAATTGTTTCTTTTGCTGAGAAGAAACTTTTTAGTTTGATTCCATCCCATTTATTGATTCTTGGTTTTAATTCTTGTGCTATAGGAGTCTTATTAAGGAAGTTGGGACCTAATCCCACATGATGAAGATTAGGGCCTACTTTTTCTTCTGTTTGACCCCTCTCCTCGGACTATACTCAAAGGACTTTAAAACAGCATATTACAGGGATACAGCCATGTCAATGTTTTTAGCAGCAAAATTCACAGTAGCTAAACTGTGGAGCCAACCTACTTTTTTAATCTACTCATCCACATGACCTTCAGTGGATGAGTAGATTAAAAAAAATGTGGCATATATACACAATGGAATTTTACTCAGCAATAAAAGAGAATAAAATCATGGCATTTGCACATAAATGGATGGCATTGGAGAAGATAATGCTAAGTGGAGTTAGCCAATCCCCCCAAAACAAATGCTGAATGTTTTCTCTGATATAAGGAGGCTGACTCATAGTGGGGTAGGAAGGGGGAGCATGGGAGGTACAGATGAATTCTAGATAGGAAAGAGGGGTGGGAGGGAAAGAGAGGGGGCAGGGGATTAGCAAGGATGATGGAATGTGATAGACATCATTATCCAAAGTACATGTATAAAGACACGAATTGGATGTCAACATATTTTATATATAAAGATTCGAAAAATTGTGGTATATATGTATAATAAAAATTGTAATGCATTCCACTGTCATTTTTTAAAGTTAAATAAAGAAAATATCAAAAGGATCTTAATCCTGGGAAAGAGGCCTAAGAGAAGACAGATAGTATGTTGGCAAGGGGACATGCTTGAACTGCAGAGGGGGAAAGCATAAAGAATTTTATCTCTCAAAGCCTCAGTTTCTCTAAAGTGCAGATAATGTAGTGTTTGCCTTTTAAGGTTGTAAAGATTAATAGCATTTACTATTATAACTGAAACTGAGCATTCAATAACTATAGACTCATTTAGTATAAAAACAAAAGTCTTACTAACAAATATGAAGTCTTACTAACAAATATTAAACATGAAGGGTAACTTTCATGAAAAGGGAAGATTGGGCTGACAGTCACGGGATAAGAGCAAAGGCATTTTGTGGAGATCATGAATTTGGGCACCTAATACACAACAGAAATGATCTTCAATGTGAAAATGATTTTAAAGTTCTATCTGATTAGAAATATAGGAGGGATCCTGGCTGGATCCAACAGGCTGTTGTTGTGGAAGTATATGGTTATGACCTTAGTTGGTTTTGGGGGGAAAATGGGGAAACTTTAAGTCTCAGCTGGAATTTACCTTCACCCCGTGAGAAACAAAAAGTGATTATTATTCACCCTGAGAAAAACTGGTACCAAGAAGCTATAGTAGTTGTCATGAAACCAAAATTCAGGGGTTAACTGCCTAGACTTGACCCTCAAAGCTGCTGGGAAATAGAGCCAGGATGGAAACACCAAGAGTTAATATTAGAAAAAGCATTTTTAAAAAAGTACTTACTGTGAGTCCTATAGGTTACTAAAATGTTTGGCAAATAATTAACTCTTGAATCTTTGATACAAAACTAGAAAGTAACTATTATACTGACTTCATTTTTTTTCTTTCCTGGACAGCACAAAACTATTCTATGGCCACATGGAGCTGGTATGTGGAGGGTTTGGCAGACTTCAGTGCTCTTCATCTCCCCACCATCCTAAATGCACCAGGCACTTCCTAATGAGATGGAAAGTCTTTTACTTATTTCTAAGACCTCTTATAAATATGAGTGTCTCAACTCATTGTAAAGTTGCCGAATGCTTAATAAATAAAAACAATATTCTGATACTCACATATCTTTCCCAATCGATTTCTGCATAAAATCCATTTGGTGCCCCATTGCTTTTCTTCTGTAATAAATTTGAAAATAAAATTCAGCAGGGAAACATTTAAATGAAAAAAAGAAAAAGAAAACAGAATGGAACGAAAACCACTTAACTCTTTTCTGTATTTAGCAAGAGCTATCAAAATCCAGCCCTGGAAAGATAAATTAGAGCAGCCTATTATGGAAACACATTGATGTAATTGAATGGTTAATTTAGATGCCATGGCACTAGGTAAAAGAGCCTAAATATTTCACAAGATACCTAGGCACAGAGGTATTAGCAACTAGCTATTCAAATTTTATTCAATTACAGAAGGATTAGCAGCACCTACATTATAATTTAATCCTCTATACCTTCAGGGGATATAACCATATACACATATATTTTGAATGGAAACATTTTTATTTCCATGCTGCTCTCATACACAATTAGTTCCAATATATTAAAAGACTTTTCATTCAAGTTATTAATTAATCTTTTAGCATTTCTAACACTGACTTAATTTTTTTTCTAACAATTCTTTGATAAAGTATAAAGGAAGTCAGCTCTGGATTAGTTAATTCAGCTCCTAGTTATTAAAACTAATGTCGAGATTCTTTTCAAATGGTTTTTCTCATCAAATTTGAGGATTAATGGTGAACTTTCCTTATCTATGTGGTCTGTGCCTCCATGAGCACATTTCCTTGCAAGCTGACTGTATATCAGCATTATGCTGTCTCTTGAGTATCTTAAAGTTTTATTTTGGTCCCTAGTACAATCATGACATATGACCACAAGCTCTCAAGCAAGGATCTGGCATCACCCAAAAGGAAATTGCTAAAATTCTCTATTTTTTTTTTTTTTTTTGTGAGCAAAAGACAAAAACACAAATCGGGTCAGTAATGGAGGCTCTATCCAAGAACATTCTTGTATTTAGCACACAGAGCAATGGTATATTACTGCGCAATAGCAGATCTCAGAATGACACATCAAATGGCAATGCATGAGGATTGAAGACAGGACCTCTAATTTTGCAATCACAAAGGTCACTTGAACTACAATGCAAGCATTGAAACCCAATTTGACAAATAGATGGGAAGTAAGCTTTTCAGGTATACACAGAGGATCACTAGACAACCCAGAATAAAAGTTGTCATTGACTAGCACTTACTGAATGTTGACTGGGCATTCTTAGAATTGGCAGTAATTTAATAAGTGTAAACAGGGTGCAAGGAATAGATGTGTTGGTGACCTCACTCTTTCTACATATGCTAGAATTTACAAATACAAGAACTCTGTCCTGTTTCCATGGACCAGCACCCAGGAACATAGGACATGTGTCTATTTGTTTCTTTTTCCTGCTCCTGACAATCTGTGCTTGGACATCATTTCAATCTTCCCATATAATTGTCTCTATTGAATTGCTGTTTCAGAAATATTCTTTCTACCTTGTACAAAGATCTTTTAAAAAATCTGCCACATTCACTCTGCACATATATACTTTATGAAGATACAGTTGAGAACATAGTCCATTGGGTCACAATAATAACATTTTTTTTCTCTCCCCTGGAAATAAGTCTGGTTCCTATTTTCTTTTTGGCATGTGTGATTCTTTTAAAATTCCTTCTTCATCATTTTTTTATATATAACTTAAATGCAAAGTGTTCCAGCTCCTTCTTAGAAAGCATATACAAAACCCAAGTTCAATATAGAATTTAATTTATAATGATTGGATATCCAGTGAACTAAGTTGATTCCAGAGGAGTAAACTCATGAATTTTGTGATCAGCATGATACTGATATCAATACACCTTTTAGGTTTTAAACCTTTCCTTAGTACAAAGGATTTCTATCTCAACACCAAAGAGATTGGGTAAATTATTGACTTCAAAATCTTCAGTTGTGCAATTCCTTTCCATTAGAATATCATCTCTATAATTAAAGCCTTTCAAATCCAAGATAGTCTATATGTTCAGTGCAAAAAATTTCATATCTATTGTCTGTGTGTATTTATGTGTGTGTGTTTCTTCTTGATAACATATCTAACACTATGTATAAAGAATTTCCTGAATTTTTTTTTTTTTGGAAATCAATGGAAAATTGAGCTAAAGGAAAAGCAGAACCTATACATTTTTTTCTTTTAAAACATACACATTTTAATAACAAATACTAAACACAAACTACAAATCATAACAATACATTTCTTTTGGGGCACACACACACACATACACACACACACACTCACACACTTGTCTTTATTAGAAGAATTGGTAATTTGGTCTCATTCATGCCAGTTTACTCTCACAAATATCTGTGGTTTTGCAAGTGAAAATTACTATGTTAAAGCTACGCCAGAACCTTCCTGAATTCTTTTGGTTAGACTCCAAGGGGTGGGGGGATCCTTCTTTTCAAATACTAAGCAAGGTACAGCTCATAGTAATGATAATGGTAAAGATGAAATCTATTGATTTCAAATGGAAAACCTTGAATAAACAGGGAAGAATATTTTAGGTGGGAAAACATCCACTGACAATTAGGCCTAATTTTCAAAGCAATATCAGTTATTCACCGACAAACAGTACTTTTTTTTCTCTCTTGGAGTTGGACTAATATGTTCTTTCACTTCTTCCTCTTCTGTATTTTCTATAATTCTACACCTGACATTAGTAACTTTTATAACTCAAACCTATGACTGCTATTTCAAGATAATCGATGTTCACAAGTATGCTAAAGTTGTTTTAATAGGCATTTTACTTTGATGAAGCTTATTATCTATTCTTAGTAATATAATGGGTTAAATCAATGAATATAGTAAAAGTTATGTTCAATTATATTAATCAAAATTCCATTGTGGGTGCCCCTCTTATCTGAGGTCAGCTCATAGCTATGTAGTGATCTTTGGGTGGGAAGTGTTGAAAATATATGATGTACTACTTAAATATTATCCTTTCCCTATCAAGGTAGGTTTGTAAATGATCCTTTAGGACAGCACTGACCAGTAGAACTTCTCTGTGAACTTGGAAATGTTCTATTTATGTGCTGTCAAATATAGTAGTCACTAGACACGAGAGGCTGTGAAGTATTTAAAATCTGTAAGTATGACTAGGGGCTGAATTCTAGACAACTAGTCACATGTGGTTACCACATTTGACAACATAGCTATAGTTATTGCATAGCCTGGACTAGAATCAGTATCTCTGACCCTACATCCTTTGGTCAAGAATACTGGTTCCCACAGGGCAAGGTCCTGCCATATACCTTATATTATTGAGATAGTGCTTATTCTAATAAATGGTACTACTCAATTTGCATGGTGATGTTTTATTATAGCAAAAGCCTTCTTTATAGATTGAATATTCTTTTAAAATTTGAATTTTAAAATTTGAATCCCTGTCCTTTGTCTATGACAAAGGAAACACAAATATTTTATACCTGATCATTCTTTAAATGAATATTCAGATGTCAATACATAAAGTTAATAAGGTTGATTTAAAAATTGAACCCAGGTATTCAAGAAGTCATTTGGAAATACCGAAGAAAGAGTCCTCTTAAGTGGAATAAATAAAAACTATTGTATTTTCCACAATTCAAAGTTGGATTTTACTCACTGTTTCTACAACCCCTTGGAAATTTTAAACTAAAATCTGTTTCCTTACCGAAACTTTTTTTCCTCCTTCACGCGCACACTCTGCTTTGTTATTGTAGGGTGGTTCATGTGGGCTGGGCTGCTGGAATTGATTGTTTTCATGTAGAAAAAAGTTGTTAAAGGATCTGTTTGTTCTTCAAGACACATAAAGAATCACATGGCGTCAGCAAACATACCAGAGGAGAAACAATTTCTAGGCCAAATTGTACGGCCTACCAATCTTGGCAGGGTTCCTTTCTCAAAGAGTGGACTTTGGGGCCCATAATGAGGCTCTATTCAGCAGGCCGGCTTGGCTAGGTCAGGGAAGGGAGAAGGAGGAAGATGTGTCCCAGGTACTAGGGACCATGTGAATCTATTCCTCATTTAGACTTAGTTTACAAGTAGAGAACAGACACCAAGACATACAAGAAAAGACGGAATAAAACTGTTGTATATCTACGTATGAAAAGTTTAGCTCCGCCATGTTTTCCCCTGGTCAAAATATTCTTGGGGGTCACCAATACATACAGCACACACAGTTGACAGTTCCAAATCTGTGCCTTTCCTGCACTCCTGATAGAGATGAGCAGAGAAGATCTCAAGCAAGGGTTGTGACCCTGGAACACTAGTTTATTTGTGAAGAGAAATGGGGACTGCTTGGGAAAAAGTTAGTGAATCCTGTGCAAAGATGTTATTGTACACTTCTGTCTGAAGTCTCACCACCATGACAGACAAGTCTGCCAGCCACGGGGATCCTCAGCCAGTGGGCAGCAGAGCAAGCCCACCTTCATATACACAACCCCTCCAAGAAGCGATTAAAAGCATTGCAATCAGTAATGGGCTTCAGCAAAATTGGAGACATTGAAATTAAGTGGGCACTACTAATTAGAGCTTTTGTGCAGGCCCTGTGTTTGCTGAGTAGTTTATAAACACTAGGTGGGCATACCAGCACCTGTAGTTTATTTGGAACATGTTAGTGAAACTATAAACTTCAACTTCAGACATTCAAAAGACAATCCTTTGGAAGTTGTCTTAGCCATACAAAAGTGGACTGAGTCAGCAGATAAGGAATTGGTTTGAGTTTGAAAGAAAATCAGGTGGAGATGTTTGAGCACTCAATACAAACAGAATCTGAACCCAGTCAGACAGCACTGGTTTTCAAAATTCGGTGGCCAGATTTTGGAAGGAATCTTAACATTTTCAAATGGTAAAAGTTGCAATGGGCTAATAACTTCCAGTTATCTATGAAGCTGTATACCCTGGTTCTGAGAAAAATGAACTTTTGAATGTAGTCTTGTTCACAACAGGACTATGTTATAACCTGAGAAATTAAATAATTCTTTTCTTTCCAAGTAAGACTGACCAGTGACCTATGACCAATGATATTTGTGGCATTTCTAATTAAGCAATAAAGAGGACAAAATTTCTACTAGATAACTTTATGGAATCTGGAATGGTGTAGGGAAGGAGGGCTTGGGGATCTGGGCGTGGAGCCCTGGACTGGGGAGGATGGGTCCCCAGAATGAACACTGGCTTCATTAACACAGCTTCATGTTCAGCTACCTGCTCTGTGCCAGCTGCTGCACCAGGTACCATGGTGTGTGTTTTACTAGAGATTTAAATGGGTGGTTCCCTGAAGAGCAGAGAATAGTGAGGTAGCAATAGGGCCTCAGTGACAATGAGCAGGGCTTTTGGAGAAAGAAAGACAAAGGACAAGACTGAGAGTGACAGAGTGAGAGAAGCAAGAAATAAGCACTCCAGTCCTGGAGCAGCCAGGATAGAAAGCAGAGTAGCTAATAGAGCCTTGCAGAGGTGGGAGAGGCGTAGACAAGAGGACCCAGGGAGGAGAACCAGCCAGAAGCAAAGAGAAGAAACAGAAGCAAAGAGTACCTGAGACAGAGTTAACGAGAGGGCTCTGAGCCAGAAGCAAGAGGTGAGGAGAAGCTGAGTCTTCTGGGTCTTTTTTTTCCCCTGCTGAATAGAGCCTTGATTATAGTGTTACCCAATGTCTGATCAATTTCTGTCTATTTTTCTTAACATTTCATAGTAAGAACCACATGAACACAAAATTCACCCCAAAGCTAAGAACCTCAAGTCAAGTGCGGGAGAAAAACTCCTTCTATAGCTGCAATTAGCACCCCAATTTAGGTATAATATTATAAAGGGTGATTTTAAAAAAAAAATAAGTTTTTAACCACCAGGTTTATTTTAGCCCACTTCTGCCCAGTGAGCCTAATGTGAGTCCATTTTTTTTTTTTCAGTAACAGCTGTTCTTTTGAACCTTCTGAATAGGCATCTGATTTAGATTTGAAGGAAGTCATTTTAGAAGCTGGGGCAGAATCTCATACAAGCAACTCTGATAAACCCAAGCCCGTGCACCACAGACTTCTTTAAAAAAAGCAAGAAATCTTGGCGGCTAGCAAGGAGCCAGAGTGACTATTAAATCTAAACCCAGTGGACCCACGTTCCTCTTCCAGGCTGTAAATTCAGGCCTAAGTGGTTTTAAGACCATTTCCTAATTTTGAATTTAACATAGAAAATATATCTGCAGCCCAGCTACGCCAGGGGAAAAGCTTCATTCAGTTTTATTGGATCCCAGCTCCTTTATGACTCTGTGGCCTCTGTTGGAGAAAAACATTCTCTCATAATGAGCTTTTACATCATTAAATTGGAAATGAAATAACAGTTGACAGTAGCAGTCCCTGCATGAACTGTCTGGCTTTGGAGCCATCATTTCCATGACTAGTTTGCTTGCCTGCTCCTTGGCAGGGTTTTAGGTGAATACACCAAATAAATGTAACTTGACCAAGACTACCTGTATGTCTCATGCAATTACTAGAGAAAATTATAACAGTGAGAGGTCAGAAAAATCTTCCAAGCTATTTTTTTTCCCTCTGGGGCGGGGGTGGAGGAGAGAAAAGAAAAATAAATGGAGCTGCAGAAAATTTAAATATAGTATATATTGAAGTGCAAACCATTAAAAATAGTCATTTAAATACTTACAATTCCATCTCGATCTGGTGAACCTCTGTAACAAAAAGAAGTTGATAGTTAGGACCGTGAATCTTTCCGATTACACAGACTAAAGTATCAAGAATAAGAATCATGAACCAACACTTTTCTGCTCCCCTGAGTTCACCCCAATAAACCTGTATAAGGAAAACTAAATCAAAACAAATTGGGGGAGTGATATCTGAGAGTGAGGTGTGAGAGAAAGATGATCATCGAAAACTGAAGCCCAAAGGCACAAGTTGGTGGTGCAGTGCCTTGGCCGAGTTTTGAGAAGAGATTTCATTAGAGTCTGCCAATCTTACTTTAAAAGTGTCACATGTGAACCTATGTTCTCTTTCCACCCACTGCAAGTGGTCCTGAACTGTCTCTTGCTAGGTGAAACTTCTGAGGTATTTTCGAGCTTATTTTGAAAATCTGAATTTTCTCCTCATTTCTGTATTTACATATATTTGATTATAGGAGAATAGGAAGGAGGGCATATTTTGCCAAATGGCTCCTTCTGATAACTAAAATCCAGGGGAGTTGTTTTGAGGGGACACTCTGCTGAGGTGCTCAGTGCTTTAGTGTAAGATGAATCTGTAGGTTTGGATTTCACCATTTCATAGTTCTATGACCTTGAACATGTTACTTAACCTCTTTAAGCTATATTAAGTTTGTGTGTGGGTCTGTATAAATGTATGTATAAAATAAACTTATAACACATTCTTGACACATTCTAAGTCCTCAAAGGTGTTAGAGATTATAATAATTTATTTTCTATTTTATGACGTCTCTTCACCAGGAACACAAAACTGCTCACTTGCAGGCACACTGGAAACTGGACTGGATGAGCAGAAGTAGGGAGAAGCAAAGAGGGTATCCACTGTCACTTGGTAACTTCTGATATTAATTCCTTGTGTAAGGAGCTTACCAGATTTATGTTTGGAAAGAAACTTGTATTTTGGGGAAGAAAATCTAAAAAAGTACTTGAAGAGAACTGTGACATTTCTAGGAATTTGGTGGGGTTGGAATTGTTCTTGAGAAGGTGGAACCAGCTAAGGAAATTCTTTATTGCTTCATAGGGTGGTGGTGGGGGGGGAGTGGTGGGAAATAGAGAGGGAGAGCTATAAGGAGAGAGAAGACAATTAGACACTTGGGCTCAGATGATTCCCTTCCCCATCAACACCACTTCAAAATGAGTGGAATAGTCCAACTGGATTACAAAACATTTGGTAGCATCATTTTTGATAATTAGTTCTCTGTCCAAACAGATGCAGTGGTTAATTCAGTGATACTCAGGCCAAAAGCAAAGAGGACTCAGATGTTGAAAGACAATGGGAGTTGATAGAAACCCTGGAATATTTGGACATTTCCTGGGCATGGGAATTAAATGGTTCAAAGAAATTTCATCTAAAATAGAAAGGCAGAAAAAAAAATCTCATCTGACAAAAGTTATAATTCATTGAACAAATATTGGGTACTTAAAATGTACAGGCAAGTGGCTAGGACAATGGGGTAAAAATAATGAAAAGACATGCTCAACAAAGAAAGAACAAGGCAGGCAAGTCTATCCAGTGAGTTATGGTGGCCATAATAAGCCCAGAATAGGACAAAAGCAAGAAGACAGAGGCCAACTTATACTAATCAAAGATTAGTTTCCTTCATATATCTATCTGTGCAAAAATGGGCATTTCCTGTTAGGATTTCAACCCCTGCTAAGTGAGCTGGGAAAGAGGTGGTTGCATCAATGACTTTAGGGATAGGACATATTCAAAGGTACTGATTCTATGGAAGTGCCTTTAGGGACAGTCAGCAATAGATGTGGAGAAGAGAAGCCTTTGGAAATTAGCTTGGCTGTAGTGGTGCCCATTGTTGGTTCAGACACAAGGACATTTCACTAGGGGATATTAAGTGGGAAGCCACCTGATCTCGTGCCTACAGTAGTTATTGGAATGTTATTTTAAATTTTTAACCAGAAAGACTGTATTGTACATAACAGCACTGGAGTCTGATTTTTAATCCAGTCAATACACATGGGCTGGTATTTTCTCTCATGGAGGAGTAAACATAGTCACTAAGAGGACAGCTCTAGGGCTGGACTACTTGGGTACAACCAATGTAGATTTCCCAGCTATAGAAACTCAGGCAAGTTACTTCACCCCTTTGTGTCTTGATTTCCCTATCTAGAAATGGCATGTATCCCACAGGACTACGAGAGGAGCCAATAGGTTAATAAAAGTGAAAAGTCTGAAATGGTGCCTAGATCACAGTAAATATTCATTAAACTTTATCTTAAAGAATAATTTTTACATAATCTCTTCCAGGATGGGGAAAGATTTTAACTGCCTCAGATACTTGGGTATATGTTGTAAATTCATTTCCTTCATTTCATGAAGTCTTTAATTTTATTTTAACATAGTATTTTTCTTTTTAATGGCAGACCCATTATATTCACGGGTATCTATTTTCAAACTAGTCATCCACTGTGGACCGCTGGCCTCTTGTTTTAGAAGTTTTCGTGACTTCTTGAAACTCTACCATTTGTCTTTCACCCTCCTGTCTGGATGTTAGGGTTTGGAAGTGAGATATCCCCCAAGATCACATGCGAGACAATACAAGAAGGTTCAGAGAAGATTGGGTTGTGAGAGTCTTAATCCATCAGTGAATTAATCCCTTGATAGGAATTAACTGAGAGGTAATTAAAATGGAGGTGGGCATTGCGGGTGTGTTTGGGGTATACATTTGTATCTGGCAAGTGGAGTCGCTCTTTTGCTCTGCTTTCTGATCGATACGTGAGCTGCTTCCCTCTTCCACCATGATGTCCTGCCTTACCTCGAATCCTGAGGAATGGACCCTGTTGTCTATGGATTGAGATCTCGGAAACTGTGAGCCCCTAAATAAACCTTTCCTCCCCTACAATTGTTCTGGATGGGTCCTTTAGTCATAGCAGTGAAAAAGCTGACTAAAACCCTGGGTTACAATCTCGTCCACCCACACCTCTTCTTCTGGATGACCAGTGCACAGGTACTGGTTTCTAGACTAGGATACTAGTTCCAAGCCTTATTTTTTGCCTAATCTTTAGCAAGTTACTTCACTCTTTTTGGTATTGATTTCTCATCTCTAGAACTGAGATATTACTATTAATCCTATTGAATTACTTCGAGGATTAAAAAGGGTATCAGTGCCACAAAATATCCTGCACAGGGCCTGCCACTTAGCACAGGCTCTCTCTCTTCCTCTACCAGTCACTGTAACGATGATCAAATCAGGAAGCTCTGGTCCTTACCCGACTCTTTATCTACAGAGGTTCAATCAGCTGAAGTTGGAGCTGGCAGCTACCCTAGCAGGTTGCTTAGCAACGCCAGTGAATTGCAACAGCCCTGAAAACAGTTTGCATCCACAAGGTCTCAATGAGTGCAGTCTAACATAAGCATTAACTAAAGCTGAAGGGACAGTAAATTGCCAGAGCATTTCACCAACCCCTTTGCAATTATGATTCATTTTCCAAAAATGATATGAGATCCAACTAGAGAATGGGGGTGGGGGCAGTTCATGGGGAAAAAAAATACCAAACAGCTTGTCCTTGGACCAATCACCAATAGGGGAACCAGTTTACAACTAATTTGCTATCCCGTAAGTAATTTGGGCACTCAAATGATAAGAAGTTAAGAAGAGACGCTTGGGATTCTCTAAACAAATGTTTCATTTAAAGTACCACAGAGAGACATTGGGCGTCCACCCAAAGCCATGGGGAATAACTTACTCATCTTCATAGCTTTGGTATTGGAGATGGAAGAACAGTGCTTTGGCCACATGTAAATTAGCTCAGCTGATCCCAGGGAGGTGACTTAACCTCTTCTTTTCCTTTCAGGAAAGCTTTTTAGCTTTCTTCACAAACCAGAAATCTCTGGTGCAGTTATCAACACTATTTTCATAGAAAATTAGTTGGCTTCTGCTATAATGTCCTCCTGAGATGCATGCAGCAGTGTCCCACACAACAGGTGGCACACTGTAGGTGTCAACAGATTGCTGATATGCTGGTGGGGTATCTGGCCTTTAGGGAAACCTGATTTCGTCTAGTGTATACTTTTTTCTTTTTTAAACATGTGAGGAAACTAGGCCCTGAGAGGGAAAATGTAATTTCGAAGGCTGTTGAATTATGGGCAGAACTGGTATAAGAGCCCAGGGGTTTCAACCCTAGCAAAAGGACCAGCACTTATTCTGCAAGGTTAATCTTTAGGAAAATGACAAATGTATTCAGAAACAATGTAAATATGATCCTAAAAAAAGAATTAACTCAATAATTTAGAAAACAATTCTGTAAATGTAATTTTCAGGAAATATTTACCCAAAGAGAAAATATAAAAAAAGAGAGTTGACATTTGGCATCTGGGCAAAACATAAAACAACAACAACAACATTTCTCCTCCCAATCCTTCACATTGTTTGCCTTAAAAATATTCAGGTCTTCTTACCCACTAGTAAGAATGGAAGTCCAGATACCTCAGCCTGGCACTTGAGGCCCTTCCTATCTGGAACTCATCTCCTTCCAGCGTTGCCTCCCATTATCACCTTTACCTATAGCCTAGGTAGACACTCTGCCCCACTTACCTGGTCCTGGATGCCTAGATTTTCCCACCTGTCTACCTTTGCTTTTGTGGCTCCTTTTGCCTGAAATGCATGTCCTCCTCTTGAAGGCCAAACTAAGGACTCCTCCTGCCTTGAAGCATCATAGATCCTCAGTCCAAATGTAAACTTTCTCACCTTCAAATTCCCATGAAATTCCATTTCAATTGCTCACAAGGAACTTATTATTATTGATTTGTATCAGTAATGATAAGAATAGTAGCAGCCGTCATTTACGGAGCATTTATGAAACACTAAGTACTAGTAGGCATTTCAAATATTATCTCATTTAGTTGTAGGAAAGATCATTTAATTCATATAGTCAGTATTTTATCCATGAATTACAAGTTTGTGGAGGACAAGGGCACAGGGAAATACTGAGCATCTTGTGAGAAAATTTATGCACACACACAAAATGTACAGAGAATCAAGATGTCTGCCTTCATTTTCACCTATACTCATACCACCTTGATTTTTCCATTTTCCAATTTTCTCTCAGGGAATACAGCCAAATGAGGGGTTTATGAGCTCCATTCTGCTACTCAGCAGACCACCCCAGGTCTCTTCCACCTGGTCACAGCCAGCCACAGCTGAGTCACGATTCTCTCCTTATGGGGATTTCACTGGAATGCCGAGTTCTGGCCAGTGAACCTCATGTATGGAGTTATCTGCCTGGCTCAGAAGGACATCTGAGATTTTTGTATCAGAGTCAAATACTTTTGAAAAAGAATTCCAGATGGTCAAATAACTAAACATAGAATAAAACTGCTATTTATTGATGTTTTCAAGGGCCCATCAGTGTCCATGGGCAATCAATTCTCTTGAATAAGACCATTTAAACACATAAAAGCATCCCTGTCATTGTTTCTGGCATTAGTTGCTTATTCACAGACAAATATCCTATCACTCCTGTGAATTCTGTTGGCTGATTTATGATTCTGCTTGTACAAAATCTTGGCATCTCAAGTAAGAGCTTTAGGATAGTATGTAGTACACATTTCTGTCTTTGGCTAGAACTAATCTAGCTAAACAGGTGCTTTGTTGTTTCTTCCATTCAGATATTAGGAGCAACCCTAGAAGTAGAAATGAGTGCTTCTAGGTCCCCACAAAACCATCAGTCATACTTTGTGCTTCCCAGGACTGCTGGCAAGCAGGGCTACCAGGTGGTTTAAAAAAAAAAAAAAAAGAGAGAGAGAGAGATGAAAAACTGAACATATGATGATAATTTTTCACCTTTTTTTTTTAGCACAAATCTAATAACTAACTAATTATGCTGAGAAACTACAGTTTCCCAGAAATGAGGAGAACAAAGAAAACTACAGGATATTCAAGGAAACACTGAGGCAATCTTTGAGTGACAGCAGCACCCTGAGAGTTCGTTTGCAGAGGCATGATGCTCTTAGAGTACATACGTAGAATCAGTGTCCTTTTCTTTCTTCCGTATTCCAAAGGCCTTCCTTGTACGTTTTTTCAATCCTGTGGGGAAATAGGAAAGGGTCAAAGAGTTCTATTGCAGCACAAGTAAATTTAGTTTGGAAGTTGCATCAGCTGTTAAACTTGCATGTTCAAAAGCAAGTTTATGTATGTGTTTGTGCATATATACATGACTCATTACTACATTTTCCATAGATGTTTATCAGAACTTGGCACTGTAAATTCGTAGCACTACAAGCAACATAAGGACGTATGGGTATGGAGAGAATTGCAAGCTTTTCTTAGACTACTGTTATTCATCACCTAGATTGAGGCTCTGTCAAAAAATTGAATCACAGATTTAGAATAGCCATTTCCAGGTTGGACATATTCTTGAGACTGAGATCATACTAAGAAGTGGCTCATGTGAACTCTACCAAGAGAACTATATTGACCTGACACAACTCTATATTTCCATCTCATTCTTTCCTAGGTCTTCTATTTTTTTTTTCAAGGCTAGATTGGATATTAACCATTCTCTGAACATACCTCAACATTAGTACCAGTGTCTCTTCCTTGTGTACAAGATCCTTACCTCTGGTTGAGATTTTAATTCATTCTTTAAGGCCCAAGCCACACGCTACATCGTCTGTGAGGGCCTCTCAATCCTAGTGGTGGAAGACAGTGACTATTTGGGCTCTTCCACCAGAATGTTGTTAATATACTTTATATCAAATGTCACCACTCATTAGTTACTACCTAAGTTTCTGTGATAGACCAAGCCGTTCTAGGATAGAGGCCAATGCCTCCTTATTTGTATGTTCCCCTACATCTCACATTGGTACCAGATAATATTTATTGATTATAAGTGTTCCAAGAAGCACCATTCAGGCAGCAGTAGGGTAAAAATTCCCCTTTCTTCTATCCTGACAAACCAAACCCAGTCTTGGGTCTCTGCTCTAATTTAGTCAAGGCTCTGTCTGAGCTTCCCATCTCCTGCACGTTGCCAGCAAACATGTGGCCTGTGTTACTTATGTTAGGGAATGTTTTTCAAATATACTAAATGCCAATGTTGATTTGAAAAGTTGGAGGTAGAAAACTCCCTGACGCTTTGGGATTTGTTTGGCACTACCAGGTGGAACAAAGGGAAAAACACTGACAGAATCAGGGATTTGATGACACCTTCTTCCAAAACATATGAGTCAGCCCAAATCGCTCAGATTATCTGAGTCATTTATTATCTGCCTCTTAGGATACTGCTCAAATATAATCTCCAAAATGTCTCTGTGCAGTCTAATTTTGCATTGTAATAATCATACCATTTAAGACACTTAGGTCTTTAAAATGTCAGTGTTTATTTTTTTTTAAAAAAATCTCCTTCCATATGGAACAATTTTCTATTATTCTTCAAATGATGAGTTTAGAGAAAAACTTATTGACATTTAAAACCATCTACCCACAATATTTAGGGATACAGTCTCTCCCCCTTTCATTTAAAATTTTATTGTTAAAACCTTTTACTTCTCTCTCACCTCCAATGGTTGTATTTTCTTATAGGGAAAAAATATCATAGTCACATTGTTTTCTTCCTACAATTTTCCTTAGATTTCTACTCTCCTAAATGATTTCTCTATGCTTCCAGTTTAGCTTTGTTTCACAATAAATGCTATATTCACAAATCATGACTGGTGATTTTAAGACCACAAAACTAATCTTGTTTTTATCTTTTGCTTTCAAGTTCTTGATTTCTGGGAGCCCAATCTTTAAGAGATAACATACCCTATCAAATAGATTAGAAAATACACACAAATTTCAGTAATTATTGTATTAAATTAGCAACAGAATAGGCTATAGTAGTTTTCCAGAGATCCTATCCTGCTTTTGACCACCATATCTGGATAACAAACAATAGGAATTAAAAAACATTACGAGTTATCCATTTTCCAGTAAAAAGCACATTGTATCCGAAGTTAGGAGACATTAAAAACCATTCCCAGCATCATTTCTAATCACACAGCTTAATATAAACTACATTCTGTTTGTGTGTCAACCTCTTGGCCTATATATACCAAATCAGCCAGTAATGAGATAAAAGAATTTGCATACTTTCATAAAATGCCATGTCAATTTGTAAGTATAGTTTCACTGAAAGTCATGTTTCTAATACATAGAATACACTTATACATGGAATATAAGTAGCAATATATCATATATGTGAAATTCCAGAAAAAATGCAAATCAAATTGTTTAATAAGAAAAAGCATTGATCAAATTATCCCCCAGGAAAGTGGAAAGATTTGAGAAGTCTAAAGTATGGAAAAGTATGAAGAAAACCAAAAGATTACAGCAAATGAAGTTATAAAGTATACGTTGTTCTTATTATAACCGTTTTTTTCAGAAAATTTTAGAAGAAGCAATCACACTGTTAAAAGTGAATGGAGAAGGATGACTATGTCTTTTGAGAGTTTATAAGAAAAAATATTCAAAGAAACTTTTCAAAAAGGAGAAATGATATTTAAGGATACTCTAAAAATAACAAGTTTCAGATACTCTGATAATCTGATAAGCTTAAAAAACACTTTATCCAGTGATTCCCACTTTTGATTCCATAACTACATGAAGACTGTAATATTAATTTCTGCAGTTAAATTGTTCCTAGCAGAGATTTTGGTCACCTATTCTTTACTGAGAATGGGAGGGTAAAAATTAAGTGCTTTTGAAAAATGAAAGGACTTTTCCCTGCCAATATCAAAACAAAGATCCAAAGCGAGAGAATTCTGTTGCACTGATAATGAAGGGCTAGCATGGTTCTGGCTGAGTCTTAAACAGGAGATAACTGAGGGGGTGGCATCCTGTAAGCATACAGTGAGGACCAGCCACATAGAAGATGCCTAGAAGTGTAGGTGAGGATCCCACCAAGAAGCCCCTCTTCCTCTCTGTGTCCTGGACTCCTTCCTTTCCATTGTTAGCTGGTAAAATGACATGGAGGAGAGGTCACATGTGGAATGGTTATCTCCCTAACATCTTGGCAACAATTAGTTTATCACAGAGCCATTCTAAACAGACTGGGCTAGGAAGAGATGAAAGGAACAGTTAAGGAGAAAGCCTGGTTCTAACACTGGGGGTGGGTGGAGGGAGGGAGGTGGTGACTGGTGCTGGCTGTGTCTTTGATTGTTGGGGAGCAGCCTTTTGAAGGCGCTGTTTCTGCCTGTTCTGCTTACTCATTTCACAGCCTGGCTTACACATGGCTTTGTCTAATTGCTGATGTTAAACACCCATGTAAACTACCTTTAAGATCCTTAAGAAAGCGCCACTTTGGGGGAATCACATTTCTGGATCACTTCTCCTCCTGCTTCCCACTCCCCTCCCAACACTGTGCTTCTGAGCCGAGCTGGACAAGGCAAGGACTAGGAACAAAGCCAGCTCCTCAGTGACCTAGAGCTCTGGAGGAAGAGAAGCAGCTTTGGGAAGAGGCGGTAAGGTTGGAGTTTAGGGTCAGTACAGAGACACAGTTAATAGGAAATCTAATGCATCTCATGCATGTCTCCCCATGTAATACTCCCCCAAAACAGAAGTAGGAAGACAGCAGAGAAGGATGAAAAATGTATGGCTGTCTTTGGCATTCGATTCGAATCTGAATTTGACTACGTGAGAACTCTCATTTGCAACAACAGAGAGTCTAAGTACTGTGCTACTTTATAAACACAATCCATCTCCTTGCTGGACATGAGATTTGGAGAGGCAGTGTCAGTTTGTCTCTCTGTAATCACTTGAAGTGAGGGGAAGGCAGCTCCTATTTATGGAGTACTCTGTGTCAGCCACTATGCCAAGCACTGGGCATATAGATAGGCTAATTCTTCCAACAACCCCAGAAGGTAACTGACTCCCTATTTAGGGATTATGAAACAGACTCAAAGTGAGTGTGTTCTTCTTCTGAAATCATGAAAGAAACATAAGAGACCAAGATTTTGAGACAAAGTCTGTTTGCTTCCCAAGTCAACCAACTTCTCGCAGAGTGATCCTGATGACTATTGCAGCACCCAGAGCTGTGCCCAGTTCAACAGGCACATCACCCAATTCTTGCTTGTTTAACTATTTTATTTTAAAAAGTCAGTCAGTATAATTGTTAAAAAAAAATGAGTTGTCCTGATTTTTGCAATCTGCATTCCATTGAGATTCAGTTTTTTTGGCATCCATTTTTGTATTTTGGAAGTATGAGGGAAGGAGAAGGAGCCTCAAACTGCACAGGATGGACCTGTCTGAATGCATGGGCATTAGGCCTGCAAGCAGAGGCTCAGGGGGAGGGGCATATTGTGACCTCATTACATTTTTAGGTGGAGAATGTGCACAATGGTACATTGAAAAACTGAGTTCAGCCTAAAACACATCATAAAAATGAATAGGGACAATTTATTGAGTATTTATATTTCAGGAAATTTGCCAGAAACTTCCTTATCTTGGCCTAACACAATGCTATAAGGTGGGAGCTATTATCATATAGACTGTATAGCATGGGGCATGAGAAATAACTGGCACCAGGTCACACAGGCAGTAACTGGCAGACAACATTCCGAAACCTGTCTGACTCCGGAGTCCAGATTCCTCGTGCATTTAGAGTATCTTATTATCACAATTAATTTTGCCTTCTTATTAAAAACAACCCCTTCCCATGTGATTTTTTTTAATGAAAAGTGTTTTTTTTTTTGTTGTCAAATTAGGTTGCACATTTATTAAACACAAGAACTGTACTTTGCATGTTCAAACCTCTGTATGCTTCCTGGTGAACATAAGGTAAACTAATAAATGTTTGCTAAATAGATTATTTCTATAATAAATGTAAGTTTTCAACTTGAGTCTTCATCCACTTAGAGGGTTACTTAAAGGTGAATCACATGTAATGGAATTACTTATTTTCTGCATAAATTCAGGCCAAACATTTAGTCTTAGTAATGAAAAACAGGCAAATTTAATTGCCCTGGGCATAATGCCGCATATTGACAGCAACTCCAGACTGGCAAGGTCTATTCATTATGATGGTCACTGTATTTCTGTCAGGAAGGATT